CACCACGCGAGAAACTTTTTTGTTATTGCTAGAATCACACATATAGAATGAATTGTGGCGAAAGATTACAAATGTGTTTTTCAGAAGCAAAACGGTCTTTTGCTTCCTTTTTTTAGAAGTTTTACTGAATAGTTCGACTTCAGGAATACAAGAACGCGCAAAGGAAATTATTATTTTTCAAAGGCGGGGGTAACTATGACCCCCTTTGTAACACCGGGCGGTAACGTAAGATAATTGAACCAGAGAACTAACGTGAAAGTCCTCCTATTGTAGGGGTGCACACGATTAGGTTGGCAGATGTGAAAGTATTAATTTACAGGTCACAGGACTACATTCCGATATATCATTAATTTTGGTGCAGGGTGTAAGTGTATTAATTTTATTATAATTAACTTTCGTCTTCATTAATATTGTAACGGAAACGGAATTTTCTAGGCGCGCGATAGTGGGAATGTTTGCGACGTATCTGGTAATTACGCGAGTGTTCTGGACTTACATTGCTTGCGTGTATAAATGGTTGCGGACCGAACATCGAGTCAGTTTTACTACCGAACGAGATCGAGTACGGACGAAACATTGAGCGCGAAAATCTGATATAAATTGCGAAGTGTGATATAAATAGTCGATATAAATTGTACAGTTTTTATAGTGTTTTAGTTTTGTTTAAGAAATATTGATATAAATCGAACCCGAATTTATAAATCACGTTACAATATATTTTAAATAATCCGAATGAAGCAGATGATTCCAATCCGCGAGTACACAACACTTCAGGCGGGTACTAAGCAATAATCTCACTTTTTTTATTAGTGGAAATTACATATTGTCAGAAAATTAAATTTCAATTATGTATCACCCACTCACATGCAGTAGAAGTCCATCGAAGCGAGTCAATGCATGATTTGCTTCTCGAGAGTCACGTCAAACTCTGATGATGTGAGTTGAGAGGTATCGGGTTTTGGTAACCGCTCAAAGGAGTGTACTGATGTGCGTGTGCGCTTACTGTGGACAGTATTTTGGTGGATTTCTTGCATCTTACACTAATTTTTAATCGTTAATTGCAATTGTTTACAAATGGGGTGGCGTAGTGATAAATTTCTTTAATTAATTGATTTGTATGAACAATTTTTGGAGATAGTGATACTGCTTAAAGGTAACGCTTGGGATACGGTTGCCCGTAATACTCAAAATCTTCGGGATAATTTTTAAACTGCTCAGGATGTAATTCATAAAACAATTGATGCTCTGTATTTTGGTTTCTATATACACCTAAGCATATTTTGTTCCCAAAAACGTTTTGGTTGGTTTACTTTTATCATCAATAAACTACATAATCCGCAATAATTACCTACTTCATTTCCTACGAATGGCTGGAATACTGAAATGAAAAGTAAACGTGGTTAAATTGTTGGATAAAAAATTGACACATCTGAAGAATGTTCTGTAAACTGATTTATTAACGGGTGTTAAGTTGGAACACCGCGTATATGATTCTCGTGCTTATACTTTCTTTATAATAATTAAGAGCTGTTATTGTTCTATGTTCGTGGTGAAGTAGAGCTATTGTGTCGGGTACCTATATAATCCCTCGTACTATTCGAGGAACTCCAAAGAGAATTATGCAATTGTTATTTTATGCTCATTACGATATTCTTAGAAGCTCCGAAGAACGGAATAAATGATTTTAAGTAGTAGTAGCGTTTGATAATTAAAGGACTTAACATTACCCTTTGTTTCTCAAATACCTAGCATTCGAACGGATCTTTTTGAAGTACAACCGTTGAGTGATATTTGGTACACAATTTCACATTACATCTAAACGGACAATTGATTTATTTACGAATTATGGTACAGTAACCTTACAAAATTGAAAAGCTTTACGGATATAAACTAAAAGTATTCAGAATAGTAGTGTCTTCATTACTTTCTTAGAAATATAGTTCTTTCGTAGTTCTTACATGTAAAATGTACTTCTTAGGGCGGTAGAGTAAATTGTGGCAGAATAAGACAATAACTAAGTTTTATTTTACAACAGCGTATGCGGTTTCTACTCATTTGTTACTTTTCACAAAAAAACCTAGCTTTGTTATGAAAGTGTTGGTGGTTTATGCGGTAATCAAATTTATAACTCTGTTGTAATAAACATTTTTACTGTGTATTATAACACCTTTGGCGTCATTTACAGAGTGGAGAAATACATACCATATCTCATTCTCTAAATACCCCGCTACGAGAAACTTACATAATTCTAATTACTCCATCGTATATGAACTGTACGTTCCTGTATATATTGTACCGTAAATTTAATTACGTTGTTTTATTTATTTATAATTAACAATAAACTTGCAACAATCTTAAAATTGGTTAATTTATATCAGAAAGTATTATTTTTCACTTACAATTTATAACATACGTGCATCGAAGTTGAAACTTACCACCACCACAATTCTGTTTGCTTATATAGAAAACAACATTCTTTCGAGAATGTTCTCGAGTACTCAAGAATGCTTCAGAATATTGTAGAACAAACACTTCATCTTTCTCAGAAAGAGTGCATCATATCCGCCTTCGTTCTTTGTTGATGAATTATACTTCACGGCGCCTCAATGTCTATCGGGATTTCTGGAATATTCCTACAATATTTATTGGGGACGAAATATCCATTTGCAAGAAACTACGACTGCACACGGTTAATATCTGGATTTAGTTAAAATTTTGATGTTGCAAGACAGGGGTATTTTTCAAATTATTCAGAAACCACATTTAAATAATCGGGGTTTTTAGTTTGTTAGTTTGATAAAGAATGGCATTTTTTAAATTGAATAAAATGGCCGATTACAGATACAGAAACCTTCTCTTGGGGCATACTGCAACGTATTCCACAGTGCTGGAAATTGACCTATAGCGTGTAAAACTTTCATTTCGTACACAATACGATTTAATTTTCTTAGGAAATAAATAAAATAAGAATAAATAAGCGTGTATGCTTTGCATTAGGGTAACCCATTAGGTATACATTACAGAACGACAATAAGTGGGTGGATACAGTTTAATTCTATTAGCACAATTCTGGACAAGCGTCATTAATTTATGTTTGCGTTTTGCCTGAATATCGAAAGATGTTTGTACGAAAGCTTACTATTAAGATTGAACACCGTTTTTTCCCTATTCGTAATGGGGTTCTAATGTTCGCAAACAGAAATTAAGATGGGAATTCTATTTCACGTCCTTCATTACAGAGAAACGCCGCTTTAGCAAAAAAATGATGGTATCGATAATTTCTCTACACAATCCCAATTTGGTTTAGTTAAAAAATAGCTGCAATATCAGAAAAATTTAAATGGCATTAGGAAATCTACATTTTAAAAGTTAAAATAACATAAATATCTAAAAAAATATACCTATATAACAAGTACTTAGACCATATCCTCATCTTTCATCCTCCTACACTCTTTATCTCTTTTGTGAAATGAAACCAGTTCAAACTTCTAAAAGGAATTAGAATTTGAAACCTTTTTATGCGAATGTGATTTTTCACCCCATTAGACGGCCACTAAGAGAACGCCAAGCCTAGATGTAAATCGTAATGGTACCCTAAAGATCAGTTTGGCTATTTTGGAAATGATTAGAATTGGAAACAAATTATTTTAATTCTCAAGGGCGGATTTGACCCCATCAGACAAGCTCTAAATTATTTCGAATTATTTGGTGGTATTAGACACCAACTATAACCTTATCAAAGGAATTAACATCATGGAATATTGATTTATGCTTGTAATAAATAACTTTTTTAGACCTTAAAACTGGATTTCACCCCTTTAAACAAATACTATACAATGCTATATGAACCAGGGGGGGAGGGGTATGCCCCTTAGGTTGAAAAATGCCGACAATAAGGGTATGCTTTCCTGGGTTGCTAAAGAATGCCCATAAGTAGCGTAATTTTCGTTTAAAGTTATAGGAATGTTAAGCGGCACAACCTGTCTTTAACATTATTCAAAGTGATCAGGAAATATGATAGAATTTTGTTACAACTAGGCACATGATTGTAGAGTTTTATGCAATTTTAAGTTAAGAAACATGTGGGTAAAGGAAGTATTGCATCTATACGAGAATTATTTAACAGATGTTTGAAAATGGGACTTTATCAAAGTAAAATGCAATTGATTTAGATAAGCGATGACGCATGTGTGAAGTGTTTAGATAAGGGAATGCGTGGTGAGCAAGTGCTCGCATTTCGTCGGCCGTTACCGGAGATAAAAAATGGAATGGAGATGGTCAGGACTTAAAACGCTTTACGCGCCGATGTTAAGACGATTGTGAATTTACGGCGTTTTATAGTTTTTGATACGTAGGTAATTTCAGTAGAATTTTCCATTCAGGTGTGGGTGGCTTTAATGTAAGATGAATATATAGGATGTTTGCATAGTTTAGGGTATCTGGGAGGTTTTCTTTTCCCTGGAAGATGGTGTCGGTGTAAAATTATAATTAAATTAAAATTCTCCGATGTTATCGTGGAGGTTGGAAACTAGGTTGAAAACTATTATAATGTAAAATTGTTAAATGACGCCGGAAATTACGACGCAGACGTTGGGACGCGGAGAGTTTGAGTTATTAAGTTGTTTGCAGTTGCAGCTGATGTAACTGCTGTAAGTGGCAGAGCCGGTTCTGGTCCAGAAAATACCTGTTTTGAGGCCAGTGGGGCTATATCATCGGCTTTCTCACTACCTTCCATTCCACCATGCCCTTTGAGCCATGCGAGCTAAAGAGTGTTACTGCTTGCTACTTGCTCTAGTGCATGGTGACATTCGGAATCCAACCTGATAGTTCTGTTCTTTATGTTATGCATAAGAACTTTTCTTGCATTGAGATTTAATCCTACCAACTTTGATTGGAATACGGCGCAGCCGGTTGGTCTATTGCCCGAGGGTCCAGGGATATTGTATCCTAAATAATACATGTGGGCGCGGCGTAACCCTCTCGAATAGGTAAGAGCTCCATCTTAACACTTCTGAATGGCATCTATAACGACACCTTCTATCCCAATCGGAGTGTCAAATTAATTTTGTACGTCTAAAGGTCATCTTTCGCCCCCTTTGGAAGGTTACTTACGCTTCCTTTGGAAGGTTGCTAAATGAATGCCGATTTTTTTGTCTAATAGTTATTGGAGATCAGTCCCAAACTTTTACGAGAGCATGCCTAGATAAAATTTGAAACCTCTTTACTGTGATATTTCTTTTGCATTGTTTTATTTTGAAGGTGTTTATTTCAAAAGTTGAATGAGCTTTGAATGGGTACCGTGTGGCTACTGCAGAAGTTAATTTTTATTGTGGCATTTCTACCAAAATAACCCCCGCCACTGGATCTGCGGATATTTTCGGCTACCTAAACATTCCACGCAGGTTCTTAAAAATAAAGATAACCATAAAAGGCGTATTCCTTACCTCCTAATAAAGCACTTGAAACATCTAAATGACGCAGGTCGCAGAGAATGGAAGAATTTGTTTCGAAGATTTAATCGAAAATTTGCTACAACTGCACGCTGCGTAAATACGCAAAAACTAACTTTTCCTCCTAAAATCTAAAGAAACATTAAGAATACTCGATATCACGATGGAAAACAAACGCGAATAACACATTTTTCCGTCATTTTGTTATTTGTTGCCTTCGTGAATGGTTAGAGTGTACATAAATTTTTCTATAATAAGTTTGACTTGCTGCATATCCTTTATAGTAAATGAAACACATTCTTCTAACGTAGAATTCTGCCACTTCGCACACTTCGCTGTTTTTACGATTTTTCTATTTTGCTTGGATTGCACCATGACCTCGTACTTAAATTGTTCTGCGAGATTTTGCGGCCCTATCAGTTCCACAATTATTTCCACTTGGTGCTCGTAGTAAAAGAATGTACACTTAAACATGTTATCGTATTCCATCATGATCCATGTTTCGTCATTAGTGGACGAAGTACGCGTTGTCGTATTGTTTTGGTCAATTTTGTGGTAGTTTCTCAAATGTTGTTTCAGAGTAAGCAGAGTGTTGCATTGACCGCATTTATCGTCAATCGGGCACTGGAAGGAGTTGAATTCACAGTTCTTAGAGTGTAAGTAAAGTTCGCTGTGCACTAAATACTCCGAGCAGCCTTTGGAGAAGTTTTCGCAATGGTATCTTGGCACTAGATTAATCGGACTGGTGCAGAGTATGCAATTTGCGCCTTTGCAGCCGCTACAAACGTCGTGGCCATATGTACAATAATAAACTTCCTTCTTAACTACTTCGTAGCATTTGACACATTTTGGAAGATCACGAAATGATTTCATTTTACTAAATTCTCCTTCACTGTTAAATGTTCCGGTGTCCACAGAGCATATTGTGACATTACAGTACACACTCCGGAAAGTAGTCGATGAAATTGCCCCATCTACACAAATTTTTATAGGATTCCTTATGTAATGATTAAATTTGGCAGTTGTTAGAAGTAAAGCTGATCCTTTACTTTCGTTACCAAAAATACACGTATTATATTTAATTATCGCCGGATAGTTACTTAGGCCGTTCTCCTTTAAAATATAAGTACTTTCAACGGCAACGTTCTGAGAGGTATCCAGAATTGTAAAATTTATTGGAGAGTTTAATTTTGACTCAGAAGGCGCAAGATCTCTACCACTCGCAGAGCCCACTGGCTCATAAAGTAAGACTTCTTCGTAAATCTCCTCCGTGATTTCTGCCAACTTTGAAGCATCAAAACGAAATAAGCATTCAGTTTCATGAGAAATACCTTGGTTAAAAGCAAACTGACATTCGCAACCGTAAACATGATAACGGCAAGGAAAAAGCAGCATCTCGGCAACAGTTTCATAAGCCACTTGTCGGACGCAAGCTTTCCTTTCCTCTAATGGCAGTATTTTATAACACTTTCCACATATTTGGCACTTTTCTGGCGTAATCATAACTGGAGCAACGTCTAAATATCCCTCGCAACGCGTGCATTTTAATTGTTCTAACACGTCCGATTTTAGTTTCAACATTATCGTTCAGATATAAAATGTTATGACTAGCACAAACGCACGTACCTACCTAAATCAACGTTATCGTTATCATTCTTTATCTCTCTGTTTACACAGAAAGTTTCTGGTAATACTTGCTTTATTAATTGCCAACTATAAATAGTCGTCGTTTTTACAGATAGTATTGATGTCATGATAACGTATCTACACAGTGACGTATCATAGCGGATTTCTGAGAAAAGTGGAATTACTACTGTAGAAATTGAAGTTATATGTTCATCAAACTTTGCACTAGTCACGTCGTTTAATGTAAAATTTTTAGGTTACATTTACCAGTCGGATACAAGCATCAAATTTTGCATGAAGCTTCCCACGACCCTAACAAACAATTTCCGAAGGGTTACCACTTCGATGGGCCAGTGGGAACCCTTTTTACAAGGGTTCGAACCTCTGAAAATTTACTTTTTTCCATTTTTCTCAAGAATTTGAATTTTTACAAATTTTTTCTGAACCGTGAAAAGACCTTTAAAATGGTACCATACATGTACCCACAAGTATAACTGTCACTTCCGCGAGCGAGCCGTTTTAGCGCAGATTAACTGCAAATTCCCAATTAGAAATAAACTGCACCAATATAGACAACGATCGAAAAGGTCACTTCTGTTTGACGAGTATTGAACAAAATTTAATCAGTGTCCCTTGACCATTATCTACCAATTACTGAAAACAAAATTGGAAAATTCCAAATGAACTCGATTTTTATCGCTCGCTAATAATTGAAGTTAGCCGGACGCATAATTTCGCACGGCTTAACTTAATAATAACTCATGTATAGTTGGCGCACATTTTCTCTAAGACTACATTTAGATTTTAGACGAAACAAAGTAATGAACATAAGCGCAACACATAATTTCGCCAGCGTTAATTTTAATTAAGTCATGTCCTTAAATTACAACCTGAGTGGCTGATGGAGCATACATTCGGCTTGAAGAAACTAAACGACACGCAAGTTTTGTAAATTACAAAAGCTACGGGCAAAATATTATGTATTGAATTCAATGAATCAATTAGAAATGAAAAGAAATTACCTTGCGCTAGGTACTGTGAAATTTAAACTTCACTAACAATTACCTAACCATATTGCACAGTTTTACTAACTTAACTCTACGATCGAGTTTCCATAATTGTTTCTCAAGAATTTTTTACGTTTTCTTTAAAACACATCAATCAATTACACCTTACTCAGGTCGGCCGTTTAAAGACTACGAGACCTTTATTCTTGCGTTTTATCGAAACCTGTATGGTTTTAAGCATAATAAACAAATATAAACTGTGCACAACTCTTGTGCAGATAAAGCGCATTTTCAGCACCCTGATGAAATTTGCGCGTTGAGCGGGGTAAAGGATTTTAAATGAAGACCCCGTGCTTAATGCGTGTTATTTACACAATACAATTGCTATGACTAAATTGAGCATCCTCGCACAAAATTTGCTATTGAATAATGAATAATTAATTATTAATGTATATATATTAAAGCCAACTAATTTTGAAATCATTGAATCTATTCACCTTTATACATTATTGACGTCATCTCTTTTAACCACACTTTGATCCATATCATTGTTCCATTTTCCTTCTGTGAGTACGCTCCTGAGACACACTGTTATCGAGATATTCGCACTGACGTATCCAAAATAGATATGGTTCATTCAGACGTTCTATTATTTTCCCTTGTGAGTGCCGTCCTTCAACACTCCTTTCTCGAGGTTTCATTTTGATATCACCAATGGGTATGTCTTGTCCAAAAGTTCCCTTTTCCTTCGTGAGTACCCTCCTCTGACAACTCCATTCTTAAGATATTCATGTTGATCAACCCAATAGATATGTTACAAGTTACAACTAAACGTTCTCATCGCTGTATTTTTTGGCACACCGTTTTCGATATATTCGTAATGTTAAAGTGTTGAACGATTGACAATTCACGATGAAGTATGTAAGTCTTGCTTCGTATATCACATTTGTTTTATAACGATATTTAGCGGAAACTCAGTATTTTGTCATCTATTATAGCCGATGATTAAACATTCCATATTCATTATATGGTAAGCCCCAAATTTTCAGTGGCTTACGCTACGCTTTCCCACATATTTACAAATGATTATACTTTGTTCATTCATAAACTAAGTTTAGATTAAAGTATAAAGCAACAATGTTGATTAAATTGTTGAAAAGGGAAAGTTTTGGTTTCGACAAAGTTTTAGATCTGAAACGCGAGGATTAATTGTTCCTTCTACTTCCGACTCCAGACGAAAACAATATCAGGCTTGTTTCGTCTTATTTACACATACCGCATTTCCCGTCTTTAATCTTCTATACTTTGAACGTAGTTACGGTTTTATCTAATACCACGACGCGGTTTTCAAACAATAATTAAATCACAACATTGCTCAGTACTCTCGTAAATTTGATTTAATTTAACGCAATTAAGGCTGTATACAAGCAGTATTACACATACATACTTCTTTATCTTATCATCCCACTTATTAAGTTAAAGGGGTTAAGGTAAGTGTAATTTTCATCTAGCCACGAAAAGTGACTATTTCAGTAACCTATAATAAGTTTAATAAATTGCTGGCTAGACTGTGACGCGTTTTGAAACCACCATTTCCTTCTATAAATCTCATTGTAATGCACGTTCAATAAAATTAATCCGATTTTCCTTTTTTAATAACACTGCTTCCTGCTAATATTGGAAGCGTTATCGCGAGCAGCATCTGTGTGTCATGAATATATTATGATTTGCATCCAAGCGTGATTACAGTTGCTACATGTAAGCTAGTTCTACTTGCTTATATTGTATTCATTTGGCACGTTTTATTTCGAAAACTTCCTTAATTTACTTTAACTCCTCGTGCAGCTTTTGATGACAACTAATAATATTATTACCTAAATGTAATGTTAGTACCAATTAACGATGCCGAAATGTGGTTCGCCGCTAATGACTTAACGTTGAATCGTAATAAAACTCAGACCTCTATTTTTGCACTTAGACCGTTTACGACCACTGGTAAATTTAGTCATAATAGCATATTCCTAGGTATGCGTATGGACTGCAAACTACGCTGGAATGAGCATGTGAATTATGTCTCGACTAAGTTAGCAGGCAACATCTTTGCGCTACGTAACTTAGCGAACTATGTATCCCCTAATGTGCTAAGGATTGCGTACTTCGCCCTTTGTCAGTCGCATATGGCATACGGCATTGTTATTTGGGGCCATGCTCCTACTGCCAAAAGTGTGTTTTCGCTGCAGAGGAGAGCTATCCGTATTATAGCAAGAATACCTTATAGAGCGAATTGTAAGCCTATGTTTATAGAATTTGGTATAATGACATTTTGTGTGATTGACAGCAAATTAGACTTCAAATATCACTGCGATAATTTGTCAAAAAAATTGAACACGTCGATATTTTTACTTACTCGGTTGCGCAACTGCACATCTTTAAATACCATTAAAGCAGCATATTTTGGTTTTGTGCATAGTTCTCTCTCATATGCCATCCTCGCTTGGGGACACAGTTCTCATTGGCAATGCTTGTTCAAACTACAACGTAGAGCTGTTCGTGTTCTGGCATCTTTAGGTTATAGAGACGATTGTCGTCAAGCATTTATCGATCTCAGAATCTTAACACTTCCTTGTATTTATATTCTTGAAGCCCTGTGCTATGCTAAACGAAATATATCTCTTTACACACAACAAATTGACGTACATACTCATCACACAAGAAAAAAAAACAATATCCGTACTGATCTATGCAGACTCAAAATCACAAGAAGGAGTACAGTACCAATGCAAACATTTATACAACTGCCTTCCCTTAGATATAAGGATTTTAGACTACCCCATATTTAAGAGACGCATAAAAAATTTTCTTCTATGTAACGCATTTTATTCTTTTAACGAGTTTGTGGCTAGTGGTAGATTATGTAATTAGTTAGCGTTTTTATTGCGATTTTACTGTTTTTACCTGTCTGTTTTTAGTTTGTTTGTTATATTGTTTGTTATATACTATTATTTTTAATGTTTAATGTAATTTCCCGTTTCTTTTGACGAGTGTAAGTGTAATTCACCTTCTCACAATTAAATATTATTATTATGGTCGGTGTTTCTTGTGAGAACTCAGGTCTAGCCTGGTTAACTAATCGCACGGATTAAAATCAAGTAACGATTAGTGTCTGTGTCTGGTGAAGTTATGTAGGGTTCTAAAGAAAAATAAAAAATAAAAATAAAATAAATATTCACACACTCACATTGGAAATCTAGAGATAGTATGTAATTCATACTTACCAACATAGCTATTAATGGCCCCAATAGTCAACGCTATCAGGAAAGAAAAACAAAACAAAACAAAAATATCATTATAATAATTCCTGTAATTTTATTAAATAGAGTTTATTGTGTAAGTGTTTCTTTGGCTTTGCGTTTGGGTTGAATACGAGTGGGTTGTGAAACGTGGTGTGTTTATGTGAAGAAGGAGTTTTGTGTTTTTTAATTGTATTTATGGTGTTTCTTTGTTCCTGAGGTCGTATTTGTGAGGTTGTTTGGGTTTTTGGTGGAGATATTGCAGTATTTTGTGAGCCTGTGGTGCTGTTAAGGTTTTTGCGCTTCGGTTGTATACGAGTGGGTTGTGACAATGTGGTGTGTTTCTGTGAAGAAGGAGTTATGTGTTTTTTAAGTGTGCTAGGGCGTGTAACTTTATTGGGTGGACCTGTCTTTGTATTGCATGTTGCGTTACTTGTATTTATGGTGTTTCTTTGTTCTTGACGTTGTATTTGTGTGGTTGCTTGGATTTTTGGTGGAGATATTACAGTATGTTGTGAGCGTGTAGTTCTGTTAAGGTTTTCGCGTTTCGGTTGAATACGAGTGGGTTGTGATAACGTGGTGTGTTTATGTGAAGAAGGAGTTTTGTGTTTTTTAACTGTGCTAGGACGTGTAACTTTATTGGGTGGACCTGTCTTTGTAGTGCAAGTTGCGTTACTTGTATTTGTGGTGTTTCTTTGTTCTTGAGGTTGTATTTGTGTGGTTGCTTGGGTTTTTGGTGGAGATATTGCAGTATTTTGTAAGCTAGTAGTGCTGTCAAGGTTTTTGCGTTTGGGTTGTATACGAGTGGGTTGTTTCTGAGAAGAAGGAGTATTGCGTTTTTTAACTGTGCTAGGACGTGTAACTTTATTGGGTGGACCTGTCTTTGTAGTGCATGTTGCGTTACTTGTATTTATGGTGTTTCTTTGTTCTTGAGGTTGTATTTGTGTGGTTGCTTGGGTTTTTGGTGGAGATATTATTATTATTATTATTATTATTATTATTATTATTAGCTTTATGTAGGTCAGTCTCTAAAATGCAAACAGACCCAACGAAAACTTTTGACCTGTTCGTTGCAGATTAAATATTTTTAAAATATACCGGTATCCACCGTATTTCAAAATTACATGTTTAAACAAATTCAATGCTCAAATCTAGTAATTACATATCTACTTATGAAATTTTTAGACCAACCAAAAACGAAATAAAATATCCAAATCTCTAGAAAATTAATTCGAAGGTTTGCTGAATGCGATCTGGCAGAAGTGAACAAACTTAAAATAAATAAAATTCCAATTTCATCTACAATATTTCGTACTATCGTTAATAGTAACTGTTTACCTTGTCACAAACTCCTAAAAAGTCTTAAAAAGATTTCTTTAGGCTGAAGGTGAAGGTGCAAATAAATCCCATCGCGAACATAACATAAAGGCCACTTTTTGGCTTATAATTACCCATTACAATTTCCTCTAAATTGATTTATTACACTTAATGCTTCTGTAGTGACAATTAGAGGGCTCAAGAATAAATAAAAATGAAAAAAGAGGGCAAGTAACTTTAGCGCATTTTCGTCAACATTTTTATTGCTTGAAGTGCCACAGTTATAACAAAGAGTAGGGTACTCTTTGGTTATAAGCTACCGAATGCAAAAAGAACAAACTAATTATCTTGAAAACTGTAGGAGTAGTTAAGGTCTCGGACGGACGGAGAAAGTGGTCATAATACTCGTAACGCCTTGCAACATGAGTTAGAAAACGCGCTAAAAATATTGCACTATTAGACGTACTTTGAAGTTAGGAAAAAAATCTGTTTCTAACGTAAAATCCTTCCATTTTGCAGGCAGTGCTTACAGTTTCATGGGTCGAAGCACAACTTCCGCCTAGAATAACAGTACCAGGTGCTATTTTAGTTCAACCCAATAGGCCGCAGTTAAGGCCACACAGATTAAATCAAGACAATATACCACTTGCTGTACGTATACGGAAGCCAATCGCCAATGCACTTCCAATATCTATACCCATTCGTGAAGATAATGAAGATGATCAAAGTTTAGACGGAGACGATGATCTCGGCAGGCCCAACATACCTCCGCAACTAGCTACCCTTAAGCAATACTCCGAAGATGAACCGCCGCTCAAACCTATTCAATTTCGACCGGAGCGTCCCATTCCGCTTCCGGCACCTCGACCAAATTTAAGACACTTAGATGATGAGGCGCCAGTACTACGTCAACCAGCGAGACAACTACCGGTACCACCACCACAGGTATGGTTAACGAATATTAACTCAATTTTAACAGTGTTTTTCAGATTCAAGCCTCTCAACAACAAATCAGGCAAAAAGTGCGAGTTGTGGCAAATCCAAGGCCCGTTCAACAACACCATCACGAGGAAGATGACGGACGTCGCAATAAAAATCGTAAACCGCCCGTACAAATCTTACGTAAATATCGTAACGACAACGAGGACGGTAGTATAACTTGGGGATTTGAAAACGAAGATGGCACGTTTAAGGAAGAGACAATTGGGGCGGACTGTATTATACGCGGAAAATACGGATATATCGATCCAGAAGGAACGAGGCGAGAATATTCGTATGAAACGGGAAATAAATGCGATCCTTTAGATGAAGATCTGTCGCTTGAAGATGTACCTCAAAAGGGACCTTTGCTTAAACCCTCAAAGAACGCGTATAGTGGTCAAATTAAAATTTAAGCGAATTATGTACAAATGTTAATATGTTAGGAACTGTCGAGAACTATTATTATTGTTTTAGTTAGCGCCATATTGAAATTATACCATTTCGATAAAGTATTTTTTCCCCGTGGGTTGGGCTAGTGTCTTACTCCGAGAGAGACAGTTTGTTAAAAAAAATCTAAGAATCCTCCCAACTCCCTGATCTGCTGAGGTGCTATTTGCAAGCTCGTCCAGGTTTTGCGATCTCTGTCTGGATACTCACGCCAGCAGAGAGTTTACTCCTAATGAGTGCTAGCAACTAGCTGGTTTTAGTCTCCGGCAAACTGGTTGGCTTCTTGGATTCTCTTAGTGCAGGGGCTGACTCCCATACAGGTTTTCCCTCTTTTCTGAGCTGGCTTCTATCACTCCTCCAGATAGAGTTGCTGGCGCCCCACAGTAGGGTTCCGGCAAAGAATACTCTTTGGTTCCGGTCGGATTTGGGGATGTTTAGTGCCGGCCTTAATGAGGCGGTCAGATTCCGCATTATCGGCTATCCCCTCATGGCTTGGCACCCACACGATTACGCCTAGCAATTTCTACTAATGTTGTGTGCCATTCCACGAGCAGCTTACAGGTCCGGGGAAAAGCTGCTAGAGCTTTGAGACTGTCCGAACAGCCTTTTGGCTACAATGGCCTATGGCAATGGCAAACCCGGCAATATCTATAACCTCTACTTGACATAGGTACTATAGGAGTGGATTCTAAAGCCATTGAGAGATCGTAATTCGGCTCTCTTATGCCTATTTTCCTTCGACTTGGAGCCATCTGTTATCTGTGTACTAGCATAAGGCTCCTTCCTCAAATTGTAGACTTCTTTATCCCGAATCAGCACTTTAAATGGTCTGTCGTGGCGATATTCGGGGTTAAGGTAGTCTGAAATCCTGTACTCAGAAATGTTAATTTTTGTACACTTCAAAGGTCCCCTCCCTGCTTCCTTAATCACCACTAGGTGAAGAGGGAGGAGGCCCAACATGGCCGCTATAGTTGTAGTGGTCGTTGCCCCAGTAAATATTCACACGAAAGGCTAGACATTGCAGCCTGATGTTTAGGTGAGTCTGGACTGCTTTTGCTTCTGCTTTGAACCACCAGGTAGGTCAAGATAGGTCGAATTACAATGCTGTAGCAGAAGGAGAGGCGGGAATTTGGTCTCTATTTCCTCCCGATAAGGCGTCGATAGCTGGTTAAGGCCGTGGTAGCCTTGTTGAACGCCATGTCGATGTGAGGCTGCCACAGTTAACTTCTTGTCCAGCACGATTCCTAAGTATTTGTATTCTCAAGTGTACTCCAGCTCCCGCATGTCCAATCGTAGCTTTCGAAGACTAAGTCTTGTTCTTTTCGTAAAGGGGACTGTTTGTATCTTGCTCCGGGTGCACGTGCAGCCCCCGAGCGGCAGCCCCCGAGCGAGGCACCATTCCTGCACTGTAGCAAAGGCATACTCCATTAGGTTATACAAAGTGGCTTCATGTTTGCCTTTCACCAAAATTGCTAGGTCGTCTAAATATGCTATGCAGACAAAGCCTAGACCGGCTAGGAGGTTTATCAGTCGGTCCATGACTAACCACTAGAGGAGAGGCGACACCTCCTTCCGGACAACCTCTGCTCTCGGCCCCAAGGACTGTTTCCGATCCCAATCTATAGTTTTAATCGCCCCGCTTTCTAACATGGCTTTTATGAAAAACTTTGTGTAAAAGCTCGATATATTTGATTCTTGCTGCTTCATCAATGGAGTCATACGTGGGGCAGTTGAATGCCCCCTCAATGTCCATGAGACAGACTAAGCCCAATTCTTTATCCAGCGTGCTTTTTTCAATCTTAGAGATGAGGTAAGGATAAAGGACGATAGACTGATACGTGCTTAAGCTCTTGGGTTGGTTGCTGGGCCGTTTGCCTGCTTTATGAAAACCACGGCTACACTTTCCTCCAGCCCTTGGGGATATGGCTATTAAGTAGCAGTAGTAGATTCGCCTCTGGATTCAAACATAATTCCTGAACGAATGATCCATAATTCAAAAGAATGAATCACTACAGTCAATTATTAACTCAATCAATCGCAATATTCGTGTCACATTTTAGCTTATCTTGCACATTCTGGCCGTATGCGATGTTTGAGGGTCTCATATGAACCACCACGCACTACGTCCTCAAATCAGGTCCTACATTCTCTAACAGGAATGGAAAGAAGAATGAAGCCCTTTCTGCGACACTCAATTTTCAAGATATTCACACTTAGGTTTCGACAGATGTGTCTCGTTCAGGCGTTCCACTGGCCCTTTATGAGTACCTACTCTCTTCCGACACTTCGTTTCGAGATATTTGTATCGAACCAATAGATATGACCCGTCCAGGTGATTCATTTTGCCTTTGTTAGTAGGTACCCTTGTCCAACACACTGTTTTCGATATATTTACTCAGTTTTGACATCACCAGTGGATATATTTCTTCCACACGTCCTAATTGCCCTTTGTGAGTATCTTTCTTCGACATTTTGCTCTTGAGGTATGAGGAATTATAACCGATCACTATAAGCCGTCGAGCAGGAGGACTGTGGGTGGCACCCCCTTCCCCACTAATCGCTAAGGAATCGCAGAGGGAAATTAGAGTTTGTAAAAACCAATTCTTGAGAGACCTTTCATTTGAATACCATGAAGAGCAAAACATGCTTTAACCCCCTTCTCCCAGTTTCAAAAGTTTTATTGGGTACCACTAGAAGCAGGCGTATGCAAAATCTGATATGTACGTTTCACTTTCAGAAACAGCATCCCCGACAGCCAGAACTAGATCCCCAACGAGTATTCAGCTTATAGATTATTTCCGACATTTTTCCTTCACAAGTTTCCTCTTTTTTTCACAATCAAAATTAGGCTAGCCCAGTTTTTACCGAAACAAAAAATGATTCGCAAACATGATACTAAGATTAGTATCACAGTTCGCCAATATCATCCACCACCATCCCGCATTTGCAATAAGAATTGAAATGGAATTAGCTACCTTAACGTAAACAAGATACGAAGAATCGCATACGATTTTGAGTAGGGGATTTTTTGGCTACTTAGCTCGCACTAGGAAACCAGACTTTTAATCCGGCTCATATTCAATAGCACTAATCCTTGTACTCGTAGAAATCGATTGGCGAAAGTTTAGCATCGCTATCTCTTTTCGTTCTCCAGTTAGACGAGGAATAGACGGACAGAGAAACAGACGAACAATAGCATCACACAAGGGGATTCTTTTTCTTTCAAAAAATTACCCTAAAACTTAAAGATATGGATCGGACATAAACACTCCCCCAATGTAATGAAAAGACGACCAATATACCGACTCGCTACGAGAGAATAACACTTTCAAGGAGAAGTTAACTGACGTAAGTATTTAATTCATTGGGCAATAAACAATTAAAGTTTAAGAAGACTTCCGAATGGGACTACAAATAAACATAGGATGTCTGCTAGTTTCGACCAGGGTACGATACGTATATAAACAAGATACGAAGAATCGCAAACGATTTTCAGTATGGGATCATTTTTGACACTCAGTTCACATTCGGAAACACAACTTTTAACCCGGCTCATATATACAATAGCGCTGTTCCTTGAATTCGTAGAAATCGATTGGAGAAGGTTTGGCACCACTGTCTCTTTTCGTTCTCGAGTTAAACGACTGAACAGACAGACGGACGGACAAAACCATCACATAACAAGGAGTAGAAGAGGGTTAGGAATAAATGCTGTTGCTTATTTCATTTCGTAATTATGTTCGTAATGCATCCCAAGGCATCGTTTTGATACAGATTTTATTTTCGGATTTATCACTGACAATGGAATCATAATTGGAGCTTATTCTAAAGGTATGAAATTACATATAAAAATATACACACAAGCAACTACTCTACAGACAAATACAAAAACTAAGATAAATTGACTAGTTAAAGAATACAATTATGTACAAGAAGAAAAACCGGCATATACTATCTCGACATGGGTATCTCATTTTATTTAAGAACGTAAGTACCTACCTTAAAATCAATTAAGCACAATCGGAAGTATACAATATTTTACTAGACCATGGTAATTAGTTTCTGTAATTTATTATTGTCATTTTTCATTTTTATCAAAATGACAAAAATCCTACGGCGCCCTGCCAGAGCGTACAATTTGCCATATTGTAAAATATAAGGCACTTTTTAACTTAATCGACGTCTATGTTTATGTTTAACCTTTGAATATGTTTAACATAACTTTCTTGAAAGTGAACTGCAGTAACTTTTTGGTCCTTCCACAGTGCTGCCACAGCATCCCTACATTTCCTTAGCCAATAAGTTAGTATGTGGTAGGTAGATACACGCACTATTTATGGCCTTTGCACCGACAAATTTAAGCGGCCAGACCACGTGTAGTGGGACAATATGGTTGTAATATACGTATTTATTCTCCACATCGACGATATCAGTAAACAATTTTCTGACACCCTGTGTAATTTACTTATGCCAAATCCGTGTTGGCTTACTGAAAATTGACAATGACAATCCATAAAAATTTGGAAATGCTAGCAAGTGAAATAATCTGAAATGTGCTTTCTATTCCTATTTTTACGCGTAGGTGGTATAGAAAATCAACATAAACAATTAGGTCGTGTTTCTGAGTAAACCGGAACAGGATAACAGTCAATTTTTTGATAAGAGTTATTTATGCGTACAAACTGAAATTTGGCGTATATAAATGCATAATTATGTTGTATGGCATTGATATCATATGTTGGTCATTAGATTGAGTTTATTTAATTATACGTTCGCTTCAAACATTCAATGGGAGGTTACCCGATTTTTTTATTTAATTGATTATTTCATTGAATGAAATTTGTCACCTACTTTAGATAAAAGTGTGACAAGGATGTTTACTGCAGGATTAACGTGGGTCAATGAAAGGCTCAAAGTTGATTCATAATGTACTTACCCCAAACATTCCACCTGATAATAGTTTGGTAAGGCAAGGTGCCAATCGCAAGCGAATTTTGCTTTTCTGCAATTCTAAACAAAAAGTGTGCCATACTGGACAAAAATTGAAAAAATTTACTGAAAAACGGAATACGTTTTTACTAAAGATGGCACGTTTAATAACAATAAATCCCATGAGGGATGATGCCACTGTGGAATTTTATAACTAATATAAAATACTGCATTAGTTCCGGTTGTGCGAAACTGTTGTCAATAAATCTATAATTTTCTAAGTTGTACTTCAGTTGTGTGATTCACAGCACAGGTAAACCTAATCGCGTTTAATTAATCTACTATGCGGATACTCTTTTGGGTACTTTTCGTGTACAAGACATTCTTCTTCCGCTACGCTGTTGTTTAATTGTAGCGTCTAATGGAAGATTACTTGTTTCCGGTAAAAACAGAACTGTCAGTCCGCCAATTACGCCACAGGCACCTAATAGTGCCATGGGAACAGTCGGATGTAAATATTTCTGAAAGACAATTAGTGCATCATTCATATTTATGAGAAAACGATTGTTTACCAAATCCCATAAAAACGGAACTAATATCAGAGCAATACCGGCACTGACATTATTGGCCCCAACTCCGATATTTCTGATGGTCGTTGGATAAAGCTCAGCAGTGAATATTGGTACAATAACGTTAGTTGAACTAATCGAAAATTTTCCAACCATAGCTAATGTCGTAACTATCCATTGTTTGTTAAAAATGTATGGTACCGGTAGCGTTAACAAACAGGAGACACCCGTTATCAACATCGTTATAGATAACGGCCAACGTCTTCCCATTCGCAACAAAATCGGAACGCTGATCGCAATTGCAGGCGCTTCAACTATTCCAGATATTACCTGAAAAGTGCAAATGAATTAACTTCCCTTACTCCTACTGTATCTGCTTTCATACCGTATTAACATATAAGTCACCACCAATGTTGCCTAAGTTAAGAACAATGCCATAATATAATAAATACAAAGAAAACCATATAATGCATAGCAAAAAGGTGGTTCTTCTCATTCTACCAGTTCTAAATAGATCAAAAACGCTTGCCTTTTCTGTTTGTAAATCTGGTTCGGTAAGTAACTGCTTGTCTAAATTATCAGGTAGTTCTTTTTTGTTGTACTTAGCTGCGCTACGTAAAACTTCCAGCACCGCATGAGTTCGCCCCATTGCTAAAAGCCACAGAGGCGATTCTGGCAGAATCCACCTAAACATACGTCACATTGATCGCAAGTCAATAGCGAGTTTGCGGATGTACATTTTACGTTACAAAACTTGTCGTTATATCTTATAACGTAAAAAAGCTTAAGAATTATACCGTATAACACTATTATACCTTATGTTTATAAATAACGTAAACCAATCAAATTTCAGCAACAATAAATTTATCCGCAAGCGCGTTTCACTAAATTTCCCTTACGTTATATCATAAGAAAAAATGGCCGTCTAACGTAACGGAAAATACGTGTCCGCAAACTCGCTAATAACATACTTACCACAAAGCAACGAATAAAAATCCGGGGAGTGATATGGCAAACTGCAGATGCCTCCAATGGGGAAGCAACCAAGCGATTCCCGAAATCATAATGT